ACCTGGCCTTGAACACTGCCAGGGATGGGGCAGCCACAGCTTCTCTGGGCACCCTGTGCCAGCGCCTCAGCACCCTCACAGGGAAGAGCTTCTGCCCTGTAACTAACCTGAATCTCCCGTTTAAGTTCTGGAGGGTTGATCCAGGTATTTATTCTGGAACTCTTTCCATCTCTCAACCAAGCAGAAGAAGCCAACACCGTCCTCCCAAGAGGAGGGCAGGAAAAGTCAATTGCTTCCATAGCAACAGACACACCAAATTAACAGGAGTCTCTCCTGCAATCAGGGCTGATCCCAACGATTTCCCATTCCCTTCAGGTCAGTGGGCTTCATAATGCTGGGCCAACCACAAGATTCAGCAGTAAAACCATTTGTCAGGCCATGGTTGGGCTGATTGTTCCCTTGTTTCCTCCCAGTTCATCACTGTCCACTATGACAGAGGCTGGACAAGGAGCCTGCTCAATCTGTTTGGGGGTTTGTGGGATTTTTTGGCTCATTGCCTGTATTTTCACCATGAAAAAGCAGAGCATGATGCTGATTCATTCATTCATTCCCTCTGAAAGGGCTTTTTCTAACACCTGAGATGTGTTTTGCTGCGTTTAAGTGTCTGGTATGACTAAAATGAAAGATACATGATGAAAAGAAAGCAGCAGCAGCAAGGAGATGTCCACCTCAACAATCCTTTAAGCAAAGGAAGAGAAAAAGGAGCCATGAGATGCCCATAAATACCACTGCGATGGTAAATCACTGTCTGTGCTGGGGTACCAAACTCGATTAGGGATGGGAAGAGCTGCCAGCCTAATGGGTATCAAGCAAACATCCCCAGACCAGACGTTTAAGATTTGTGTCCCCAAATTTCTGAAGAAGGATTTAATCAAATGAAAAGATAATGTCAGAGCATACTCAGCCTTTGAAACATCACAACAAGGTAATAAATCACACAAAATGCAACTGCAAACATTGATCCGAGACAAACAGCATTCCCTGAAAGCACCATCCATCTCGGACTGCTTCCAATTGCTTTCCTGAGCACGGACAAGTCTAAACATGGTGTAGCTCCCATATTAAAACTAAAAAGCAGTTCGAAGGAAGATGGCCTCGTGATACAAAACCAAGGAGAACCAAGAAACCAGGACACCATTCACTCCATGAGCAGAGCCACCAGGCAGGAGGAGGGAGGTTTTGGTATGCCTTTGCCAAACAGTGCTGGAAGGACTGGAGCAGAGACAGGGGGGAAGACTGATCAAAATCCATTCAAACCCTCCTTACGAAGCCCTCACTGAGTCAAGAAAACAAGGGACAATTCCTTCCCTGGCACAGACATTCTGAGTCAAAAAGGGCTTTACTGAACTGACCACTGCAATCACTAAAACTTCTACAGACATAGAATTCTGAGAGAAATAGTTTCTGAATGCCACAAAACAACTTTTTTTGTCGTAAAATCACAGAATGGTTTGGGTTGGAAAGGACCTTAAGATCATTCAGGTCCAAACCTCTGCCATGGGCAGGGATACCTTGCACTAAACCATGTCACCCAACTCCATCCAACCTGGCCTTGAGCACTGCCAGGGATGGCTCATTCACAACTTCCTTGGGCAACCCATTCCACTGCCTCAGCACCCTCACAGAGAAGAGCTTCTTCCTTAGATCTAACCCGAACTTCCCCTGTTTCAGTTTGAACCCATCACCCCTTGTGCTATTGCTCCAGTCCCTGATGAAGAGTCCCTCTCCAGCATCCTTATAGGCTCCCTTCAGGCACTGGAAGCTGCTCCGAGGTCTCCACGCAGCTTCTCTTCTCCAGGCTGAACAGCCCCAGTGTTCTCAGCCTGGCTCCATACTGGAGGTGCTTCAGTCCCTGCTCATCCTCATGGCCTCCTCTGGACTTGTTCCAACAGCTCCATGTCCTTCTTATGTTGATATCCTTACACCTAACCTGAACTTCTCCTGTTTCAGTTTGAACCCATCACCCCTTGTCCTATCGCTCCAGTCCCTGATGAAGAGTCCCTCCCCAGCATCCTTGTAGCCCCCTTCAGACACTGGAAGCTGCTCTGAGGTCTCCACACAGCTGCTCTTCTCCAGGCTAAACTATAAAACATGGACCCGTTTCTGCTTTCACTTAAGTACATTAAATTCATCTCACAGAATGCAATGGCTGCCTCTGTCAAAACAAGGAACAGAATTCCATAGATAATTTTTTACCCAACTCTAACACTTTGCTGTGCCCTTGCTATCGGAACATCCCTCCAAAGATACCAGCACCAAGTTCTTCTTTCTGCTTCCTCCCAACTTGTCCGTGAATGCATCCTGCAAGATGTCAGAAGGCAGAATTCCTGGGAGCAGCACAGAGGCCACAAGGTGGTTGCTCAGGAAACCACCTCCCTGGAATGTGCTGAAATTTGCCCAGAGCCTTAAAATAAACATTTTTAGCATGGAGCAAAAGACTCATCTCCAGGCATCCCAAACCAAAAGCATCATTTCTATATGCACAGTAGATAATGTTCTCGGCTCTTTGCTATTTAGCGTTTTAAACTGCCTTTAAGTATGTAATTAATTACATGACTTGTCAGGGATCACTTTACAAACCTCTCCACCTCCACTCAATCGTGAGGCTCCAGCATATCTTCTGCCTTTTTTCCTTCTTTCAACTCCTATCATCCCTCCTGGAGACACTTGGGATTTAACACTGTGTGCTAACATCCTGCACAGGATGCACACGTTTCAGCAGAGGGCTAAAAGGAGCCTAACAGTGTAGAAAGGAGCTTCATTTCCTTGGAAAACTGACTGTGCCTTCAGGCTTTGCTGCAGTCCAGGGTAGGACTCAGCACCTCTTCCTCCACCTTCCCATCAGGAGCTGGACACTACACCCAGACTGAAGGTCATCTGGTCCCTATGACTTGTCCAGATCTTTGCTCTTTCTTCTATACACAAAAAGCCATTCTCAGCTACTGAGCTCTTTCTGAGGTCTCATCTCCTCATGTTAACATGCAGTGAGTGGTTCCTATAGCTGACTGTTGGGGTTTAACCTCAACCAGCAATTGAGCTCTGAGCCCCTTGCTCACCCCAGTGGGATGGGGACAGTCATAGAATCCTGTCGTAGAATCCCAGCCTGGTTTGGGATGGAAGGGACCTTAAAGCTCACCCAGCTCCAACCCCTGCCACGGGCAGGGACACCTTCCACTGGAGCAGCTTGCTCCAAGCCCCTGTGTCCAACCTGGCCTTGAACACTGCCAGGGATGGGGCAGCCACAGCTTCTCTGGGCACCCTGTGCCAGCGCCTCAGCACCCTCACAGGGAGCTGCTGTAGCACTGGAAGAAGAAATCTGTGCGTGCCATATGCTTCCTTCTACAAACAGTCTCAGAAACCCTTTCCCAAGGGAGTCCTCCATTCCCTCTTTACCTGCCTGTCCCACACAACCAACATGAGCATGGCTGAACTCTTCAGAACACCAGCTTCCCAGCTACAACAGGTCCAAGTCAGTGCTGCTCACTAGTGTGTGTGCTGTGACAAATCTCTTGCTCTCACTTCTTTCCCTTCCTTAAGGATACTTCAAGGCAGCACAGAGCTCCACTTTTCCTTTCAGATCACTGCATTATCACCAAGAGAAGGAGATCAAAAAGCTAAAAAGAAAGAAGTAATAATTGCAGATCCCATTGTCAGAGCTGGCTCCTGGGCTTGGCAAGCATCCTGCCCATCAGAACAGCCTGGCAAGTGGAGCTGGGGCAGGGGGGAGACACACACGTGCAAGCACGCCTGCAAGGACTGGGAATGTGGAATTGATGCTTTTTAAGCCAAATTTACAATTCAATTATAATTCTCTGTGGATGCAATCATAATGAGTTTATAATTATTAACAATTACAAACATGACAGCAGAAGCTCTTTAGTTAGAAGAAGAAAGGGCTGCAACAGCAAAATTTTAATTGTAATTCATGATGATTGAAAAAGAAGGAGCACTTTTCACAGCAGCTCTGGCCTCAAAGGAGGCATTTCCAAGCACAGGGACTGGCTGTTATTTTTCCTAAGACAACTCCTCTTTCAAACACAATACATTAAAGAAAGAAAGAAAGCCCACATTCAAAATCTGGACAACATTCAATTAATTCCTCCAATTGTGAATCCTCTGTAAGCATCCAGAGAAAGAAACAGCAGCCTCATTTCAGAGAATCACTTATCAATATGACCTCTTCTACTGCGCCTTCACATTTAAAGAGGCAGATTCCAACCCAAACCATTCTATGGGTTTATGTCACATATTTATGTGCCATTTCCAAACACCCAAAGTCCCTGTCCCCCATCCACAGCCTACACTGAACACGGGTCCCTTCAGTTCATGAACTAAGGAATATGCCAGGGAAGGGAACTGCTGGTGCTTTAGGACAACACCTCCCCAGGTTGCTGCTTCCATTAGGAATCTGGGAAGCAATTCCCAGCTGGCAAGATGCAGCTCTGTGAGGATTTCACATCTCAGACACATACAGGGTTAAGCCAGGGAGGGACACGACCCACTTCTATTTATGTTTCAACCAGAGGCCTCCAGCAAGATGTATACTTTAAAGAACAGTTACTACAGGATACAGGCATTAGAAGGTACTTCTTTCTAATAATATAAAAACATCAAACAAGCAATATTCTTGGAGGCAGGTTAAGAGGTCCCAGAGTTTTGCATTAGCTGATCCAATGCTATTTCTAAATATGGTTTTATTCCAGCCTCTCTGAAGACCAGCATTCAAAATGTAAGGAGCCTGTTTACTGGGTCATGTTTAGCTTCTCCAAAGCAACTCCAGCTCTCCTAAATCATTCTGAGGGGAGCGAGGCCACACACAAATTGCAAGTAACAAAAGTAGATGGGCATCGATTAGAAACTAATACTTGTTCAAGCTTCCAAGCCAAGGAAACGCGGCTGGGGAAGGTTTCAACCATCTAGAACAGGAGCTGTACCACATTTATAAACCTTTTGGGTTTGGAATTGCCTCTTTTAAGGGTGAGCCTTCGCATGCAGCTTACCAGGGCAGTATGCATCAACGTCCAGTTTCTGTGCTGAAGAAAGTGTTGGGGAGCCAAGCTCAGACTCAGGGATTCGAGGGCTCTCAACAAACTTTGCTTTCCTCAAAGGGGCTAAGGAGAAGGAGGGGGAGAGAGAAAGAGAGGTCATGAGTAAGGGAAACAGCAGGCAACAGATGGAAGCACTTAACTAAACGACACTGTCAGACTCAGATCAGGTTACCCCTGCTTTTTCCCCCCAGAAAAAGAAAGATTATCTGCATTCTTTATGAAGGAGATGGCTCTTGTTAAAGCCTCCACACTGCACAGTCTTACTTGAAAGTAAGGCACATTCTTGATACTCTCAAACACTTCCTTTTTCCTCCTTTACTGCTATTTTTTTATAGGAAGCAAATGGGCCTGGATTCAGCAACTGTAGAAAAGCTGAGATCCAGTGAGGTACATGGAGCCCAGCAGAGTTAATGCTAAGTATCTACACTGAACACACAAATTCCGTGTCCAGTAACTGTTTCCTTCAAACATAAAGTATCAGCCTCCAAACATTCTTGATGCCTGACCAAGCAGATTTGGTGCTTAACCCAGAGGATCAGAGGAAAGCTAATGCTGGCCACTGTTATCCTTGCAAGCCCAGAAACAGACTGCAATAAAGAACAGGGAAAAGGTAAAGCTGCCTGTAACAAAGCAGTGTTGACCACCAGTGCCAGAGAAAGGGGATCTTCCCCCATGTTTTAACAGTCTAAATGCTCAAAACCACATTTGTAATAAATAATTACTAAAGCACTTGGATTAATAAGATTTTAAACAGATATCCAGCCAGAGCAGAGAAACAGAACTAGGAAATACATTGCAGAGGTTTAGAAGCGAAGCTCATGTGCCCATTGAAGTGAAAGGCTCCATAGACAGTGCTGTGGCTCAGCGTGTTTCATGACCCCACCCCGATCCTCAGCAAATAACCTCCATTTACAGAATCCGTATTTATAGCCCTGCAAATTAGATTTGGGATCTGAAACTCAAAGGACACACAGGTTTGTTCTCAGGCACCGCCTGTAATAAAAGCTCAGTGGGTCAAACGATGACCTCTGTGGTGGCAATAAATCTCTTGCTTTTAAGGAGCCTGATGGCCCCCCAGCTGGAAAAGGCTCAGCAATTCCAGTGAGGAGGAACCAGAAGGACAACACTCAACCCGCCTGCTGGAACTGAACTGGTACAGAAAGGATCACAGGGGATGGGGAAAAAGGCTGGGATATGGTTTTACCCTGTAAAGCAGAATACAGCAAGAAATCAGCCCCCACCACCCTGCAGCAAAATAGGTGCTGGACACCCCCTAAGGACCCATCCCAGGATCCCCTCATGATGAGGGGGAAATGGTCCCACACTACCATTCTGCACAAGAGGCTCCCAGACTGGTATCAGGGATATTTACAGCACATTCCCCTCCATGCTAGGCAAGCGGAATGCAGGAGACATGGAGATCAGGGCAGCCGGGAGCCCCTTCTCCCCCATGAAGCTGCAGCCCTGCTCAGACACACAGGCCAGTGGTGTTAAAACTCCGGTACCTGCACACACAAGCACCCTCCCAGCTTGCAAATTGGCCAGCAGCAGTGAAAACATGAATCACAGCAACCCTCTTGTGCCAGATGCTGATGTAATGAACACACGTAAATATTGAGGAGATTATTACCATGGCACAGGAATTGTTTAGACTAATAATCCTGCATGGGCCAATCTGCTGCTATTTCTTTTGCAATTGCAATTTTAACCAATGGGTTTCTTTGACATCTTTTACCACAGCCCCAGTAAGTGTCATTTTTATCTTAGAAACAGCTCATCTTTCATTTCTTTTCCATTTCTGGCTACCACCAGAGCCACCCATCACCTGATGCGATACCCAGCAGCACTCAATTGTTCTGCAGTACAGAATGAACACGGTTTGAATGGTCGAAGAGAGGTTAATGACTGCAATGGGGCTCTCACCAGAAGGCACTGCACAAAGGATGATTTGAGTTAGGAACCCAGAGAAGGAGGACAACCTGTTCCAGTGCCACCCTCACACGGAAGAACTTCTGCCTTATATCTAACCTGAATCTCCCCTAAGTTTGAACCTATTGCCCTTGTGCTATCAGTACAGTCCCTGATGGAGAGCCCCTGTCCAGCAGCTCCACGTCCTTCTCACATTGAAGACACCAGAACTGCTCCAAGTGCTGCAAGCAGAGTCTCATGGGAGCAGAACAGAGGGGCAGGATCACCTCCCTCATTCTGCTGGTCAGGCTTCCTTTGGGCAACAAGAAGTCCTCCTAGCTCATACATAACCCAATTACATGGCAGGAGGATTCTCACGTAAAACTCCTGACTCCTGCCCAAATGATGATTATCCTGACAGATTCATCTCTGGGCACCAGCATTCCACTGGAATAAAGAACAAATGGAAATGCCATAAACTCCAAAATCTGCTTTGCCATTTTTTAGCCAAAGGTTCAAGGCTGACATTGATCTTTTCATTAAAGTGACTTCTCATTCACACCGGTGCTGAACATCCTCCTGTGAGCACAGGCAAATCTCACCATCCAAGGCACGGGGTGAGCCTTGGCCTAACCTGTGAAGTCTTCTATACCTGCTCGGTCCATCAGACTTTATTTCTCTTTGCACTTTCCTGTGCAAATGAGGTTGGCTCTAGACATTAAACAGCATCAAACCAGCCCTTCCACTTCCACAACTCTAAATTTCTGAGAACAGGACTTCTTCCAAAAATAACAGGGAAAAATAAGAGTATCTGCAATAACCACTTGTAAAACCACAATGAATTGAGGATGCCAGTAGCCAGTAACACTGTCATCCAGAACTGCAAAATGCACACTAAATGCTGAAAAACATACTGATCACAAGGAGCCTGAAGTCAAACCCTGTCACTTGGGTCCCGCTGCCCATTGACTGGGGACAGCCCAGGAGTGATGCAGCAGCCCAGGCTGGAGGTACCCTCAGTGGCCAGGCCAGATGCCCAGGGCTCAAGGAGGAAGCGTGAGCAGCAGCTCAGGGAGGGGACCCTGCCCCTCTGCTGCGCTCTGGGGACACCCCCCTGCAGTCCTGATCCAGCTCTGGGGCAGCAGCACAAGAGGGACGTGGAGCTGCTGGAGCGAGTGCAGAGGAGGCCACGGAGATGCTGCGAGGGCTGGAGCAGCTCTGCTCTGGAGCCAGGCTGAGAGAGCTGGGCTGGGGCAGCCTGGACAAGAGAAGGCTCCTGAAGGGGAGACCTCAGAGCAGCTCCAGTGCCTGAAGGGGCTGCAGGAAAGCTGGAGAGGGGCTTTGGACAAGGGCCTGTAGGGACAGGCCAAGGGGAATGGCTTTAACCTGCCAGAGGGGAGACTGAGATGAGCTCTTAGGCAGAAGCTCTTCCCTGTGAGGGTGCTGAGGCGCTGGCACAGGGTGCCCAGAGAAGCTGTGGCTGCCCCATCCCTGGCAGTGCTCAAGGCCAGGTTGGACACAGGGGCTTGGAGCAAGCTGCTCTAGTGGAAGGGGTCCCTGCCCGTGGCAGGGGTTGGAGCTGGATGAGCTTTAAGTCCCCTTCCAACCCAAACCAGTCTATGCTCATGTAGGAACTGACTTGCTACTCCTAACATAGGAATTTACACTTAAACAGCTGGACAAGCTATTTAAAACAAATAGTGCACGTTCTGGGGAAGTTTCTGCAGTTCTTGGCAGGATTAATCCCCACCAGCCAGTAGCCAGTGACACCCAGCAGAGCAAAACTGAAACCCTTCCTTCAGCGCAAATAAAATCCTCATTCCACTTTGACAGCAACTTTTCCTGTGCAAGGAAAGCGATGCTAATTCCAGGGGAGGAATTAAGCACATCACGCAACACCAGGGCAAGCACTCAGTTTTATTAGATCCCTCATTTATGCCACTTTCTGCAGCAGCTGGGGACAAAGAAATGCTTTCTGTCTTGGCCCTCATGATAATTCTCTGTAATAGCCACACGGACACTGGAAGTATTACACTGTCAGCAGATTGAGGGCTTCAAAACATACAGGAATAGAAAAGAGTTTAACAAATGTATGCATTTTTATATGTACATGTTCTGGTAAGGCATACGTTTGAGAGCAACCAAAAGGAAGCATCCTATTACCTGGATTTCAGGTTTGCAGGCAGCTTCCTAGAGCCGTATAACGGAAGATACAGTTAATAAACCCCAAAGACCTGAGGACCCCCAACAAGGCTTCATTTTCCTCCCTCTGCTGACAGCCTGTCACTAACCCTGCACTGTGAGTTAGGAAGCACACATAAGCAAACAGATATTTAGAGCAGACACACAGGACTGCAATAAGGCCCTGTTAAACACATGGGGAAATACTTTAGTAAGAGGCTGCAATGTCAGTCTGCAGGCTGAATGGTTCAGAGACTCTAACAACAGAGATCCAGAGGATTTGGAAAGTATGCCCAGCAGAGGAACAGGAACCATTAGCCCAGTTCATAGCATTCCTTAAACCTGTACACCCAATACCAGTCACTCCTGAAGCTCTCACTCCATGAGCAGCACAGGAGAGCTGCGTGGTCCCCCCAACCCAAACCCACTTCAGGGATCAGGAGCTGCTGCTGGCTTATCCCACGGAGCCCTGGGAACAACCCTGGTGCTGCTTGTGATCCACATCAAGCATCTGATCTACTACCACAGAAAAACAAAGCCCAGGAAACCCAGGATGTGCTTGTTCTGTCAGAGTAATCATTCATCTCCATTAGTACTGTGTTCTAGTTCAGCCTGTTGAGCATACCTAATTCTACTGCATTTGCTATGTTGCCATTTCCTTGTCACATAATTTATAGATGAGTTAGTATTTTAATTAAAAAGGGGTTTTCTTTAAATTAAAAGGCACTGATAAAAGGAAATTACCATGGATCAGCATGGCTTCATCTGCTAAATTCAGTTTCAGCTCTGGAAGGAATGTTTCACCAGGAAAGGGTTATTAACACCTAATGACCTGATTGAGCAAAGCAGGTTTTCAGGCAGCTACTTCAGTAGATCAAAATTCACTCCACGGTTTGAATCATGGAATGGTTTGAGTTGGAAGGGGCCTTAAAGCTCCTCCAGCTCCAGCCCCTGCCACGGGCAGGGACACCTTC